AATAACGAACTTTATCAAAAATTTTAGAGTTAGTTTCGTAATTATATGCATCTTTTCCAAACAATAGCGTGTCAATGTCAATGTGTATGTTCATATTTGTAAGATCATTAATCAGAGATATTCTTTGGTTATAAAATAATTGACATTCTAGAAAGTAATGGATGGCATCTTCAACAGGAGAACCGCAGGAGCATTTAGAATCATTCACTACATTTATATTATTTAAGTCTGCATTTAATGAACTGCACTGGTGCCTTAGTCTTGTATGCAGTATATTAAATTTTCTAGGCCCTTCACCATAATATGTTGGAGGTCTAAACCCTTTTTTTTCGTTTAAATTGTGGGATAGTTGATGCGTTTCTTATTGTTGGATTTAAATTATTCCATATTTTGACAGTAGATGGTACGAATGACTTTTCAGTTATTCGTAGTCTACATCTAGGGGGTATATAATTATCATTATTTCTTAGGTTGTATCCACTGATATCAGATGTAACTGGAGGTAGACAGTCGATTAAATATTGGGGACAAAATTTATTATGCATTTGATAGAAAATTGTCAATTTTCTTTGTCTACGCTTTTCTGCTAAAGTTTCCCAGTCCGTTTCAAAATATAAGGATTCTAAACTTGAAAATTTTGTAAGCCCTGTTACTATCCTTGCAGCTTCCAATTGTATTTTTTCTAGTTTATTAGATTCATATTCAAAACACCCATCCCATACTTCGCATCCATATTCCAATAGTGGTCTTATAAAAGTGACATAGATATTGGATAAGCTTTTTTTGGAAAGTTTCCTTAGTACATTTACTTGTTTTAATGCAGACTTTGTAATATTATCTATATGGCTGGTCCAGTTTCCATCTGATGAAAGTTCGACACCTAAATGCTTGTGACATTTAACAGTTTCAACGTTTTCAACATTAAATAAAATATTCATTACTGGTGGTTTAACATTTGCAATCACCAATGCTTTGGTTTTCTTTTGATTAAAATCTACCAATCATTTTTTGGCCCATTCATTTAAACTAAAAAGGTCTTTATTAATATCACTTTCAATTGTTTGAAAGTTGCTACCAGAATATGAGAGAGAGGTGTCGTCTGCAAATAAACGGTCTAGGTTATGGAGATTATCTGTAATGTCATTAATATATAAAAGAAATAGTAGAGGACCCAATACAGATCCCTGCGGAACTCCTGCCTTGATTTCGTCCTGATTTGAAGTTTCATTGTTTATAAAAACAACTTGCTGTCTGTTGCTGATATAGTCCTTAACCCAGTATAATAGTTTACCAGATATTCCATACGAAAGTAGTTTTTTAATAAGGCCTACATGCCAGACTCTATCAAAGGCTTTTGACATATCACAAAATACTATAATGGTAGATAACTTTTTGTCTAGGTTTTGATAGATTTCCAAGAGTTGGTAAATAGTCGAATGGCCTTTAAGAAACCCTGACTGGTATGCATATAATAATGATTGCTCTAATATATAATTATGAATATGTTTATACACTACTCTTTCCATTACCTTTCCTACAGAACTCAATTAAGATATTGGTCTATAATTTGAAGGATTTGATTTATCCTCTTTTTTAAAAGAAGCCATAACTCTAGCAAGTGTCCATTGGGTTTGGACTTACCAGCTTGAAGTGAATTATTGAATGGTATTCATCATTGTGAATCTTCGACAACTAATGATAATGCATGATCAATAGATGTGGTTCATGTACATGTTTTTACGGAAGCGTATTAGCGCCACACAATTATTTTTTATATGTTTTCCTCTATTTGCGTTATAAAGCAAACCTTTGCGAAATAACGCAAACCTTTGCGTTATAACGCAAACATTTTTTTTTATCTTATGTCTTATTTAAGTTTAAGGGAAGCAGCTGTTATAAATGGAGGAGGCTGCATATATTAAAATTCATCACCCTTTGTACTCATTGCAAAGTAATATGCTTTCAGTGTTTAGTTCATATCATGGGATAATAATGAGCAGGATAATACATGTATATATATATATTTTAAGTAGACTGATATATGATTCATTCAACATCACAATCATATTTACTGATGAAGGATATCTGTTATTCGAAATATTTATAAATAATTACATTTATAGTTCCTTTTTTGTTATTGGTGTTGTTGTGTACACTTTTTAGGCGTTTATATAATTTATTTATTGTGTACATGTATCGTTACTCGTAACGATCCAGCGCCCTCGTGGGAAAAATCGTTGACTATTATTCAGACGTTTTACAATATATATATATAGATTCTACCACTGCATCGAGTGTGATACGATATTTATCCACTCGAGACAGTTAAATATGTAAAATTTAACTGTCGAGAAGGGATAAATATCGTATTACACGAGATTTGGTGGTTGAATTTGTTTCTCTAATGATTTTCAAACAATACGCAGGCAAATTTATTCCTTCTTTTCGAATGATCTGCAAAAAGATGTGTTCTTTCTATGTGACGTCATCAGGCATGGTCGCCTTTTTTCATGCCGTCACAATAGAAAATTCAGAGGAAAGCAAGAAAATTCGACGTCATAATCGGATTTTAACCAACGAAGAACTGAGATCAAACGAACCACACGTTGATTAAATTTTTTTTATACAATGGGTGCAGAAAGGGATAAATTGACGATGAATTAGAGAAATATATATATATATATATATATTACAAAGAAAATAGAGTAAATTGAAGTTATACCGAAGAAAATAAAAAATCTACCCTGCTAATGTAGCCGAATTTAAATATACTTCCAAAGTAAGCGCTCGTTTGAGCATTGTGTAAGATTTGTAAGATCCAAGCAAGCTACCCTTTTGCAATGAATTTATAAGATATGAAGATGTTTTATTATTATAATTATGTTCTCTACATTCAAATTGCTACCAAAGCATCTTAAATAGCTACCTCACTAGATTGAAATAAAATTCCATGACTTTTTATCAAAGAATCTTTATCATATTCTGAGATTTCAACAAACGATTTCTTGCAACAAAATTTAAAAAAAATGTTTTTTCTGAATAATTCATTTTGTAAGCAGAAAGATCATTTTGTCTATTTGACTTTATAGTTTCTTAATTGTATGACATTATTGTTGCTCTTATAAAAAAATGACAAAAACAGAGATCCTGTATCCATCCTTCGCTTGTTACGTCAGTTACATATGTATGCATGTGTCAGTATTGCATAATTGACAACCCTTGTTGTCCACCTTGATAGCTACATGAAATATGGCTACATGCATCAATGGGTGTAGTCAGTCATGGGTTACAGTATATAACCCAGGCGAAAACCTTCATTGGTCAGAACATCTCAACACTCCACCTAAGTAAGTACTCTGTAATATTAAGGTTGTCGTTTGAAACCGTACAAGATGAACTTTCTTGAACTTTTTATGTTACTTGTATTTTAAAGTTGTCCATACAAATGATCATGTTATAATAGATTTAACAATTAAAACATTGATTTATCCTGGTTCTCATTCCAACTTTACTAGAAAGTCGAACTTCAAAAATGAAATTGTTCTATATGTGATTGTAAAATAATTTCTTATAATTAGCGTGTTGCTCTTAAAAAAGTTGAATACTCGTTTTTAACGATAAAACCATAATTCTGATATTGTAAAATTGTGCACGACTTCAGCCAAAAATAATAAATAAAAAAATTTCTACAGAAAGATAGATAGTGTATCGCGTCACCCTTTACATTTCTTACGAATAGTGTTTAGTTATTTAGCTTTTACTGATTATACAGTATTTTCAGACTGTCTCCTTATACAATATATATTAACAGCGGCAATATAATAAAATATGATAATCATACATGATAGATTATTTTAAGCAGAATTGACTTTCTTGCAAACTAATTTACATAAAGATTCCATGTCAACGCTTTGCTAAAATTAGACTAAGTGACTGTATTTTAATCAGATACATATAGTTAGTTTTGTTGACGTCTTAAATATTATTTTCAATTTGCAACGATGTACAATCTATGAAAAAAAATAGATGTTGGGTAAATGCTAATGAGACATTACGGTCAATTGAAGACAAATTCATATTCAATATGTCAACTTTTAAATGGCCCCGAATGTCAGAAAGTAGTAGTTAAAACAAAGAGTATTAGGTATTTAATGGCCTGTCATTAATACCGAATTCTGTTCAGGAAAATTAAATAAACAACTGAATATGAAATAAAATGGAATGCATAATAATAAAAATAAATAAACAGCAACAAAAAAAAATATCATTAAGATAAGATATAACTAAAGACATCTCCTCCTTTCCCCTTCTTCAATTTAATTTCGATCATTGGGACAATAAAGGAACACAGAAGAATCTATAGTAAAATTCTTTTATGTATATTTTCAGAACAATCACCATGCTAATGAGACATTACGGTCAATTGACGACAAATTCATATTCAATATGTCAACTTTTAAATGGCCCCGAATGTCAAAAAGTAGTAAATAAAACAAAGAGTATTAGATATTTAATGGCCTGTCATTAATATCGAATTCTGTTCAGGAAAATTAGACAAACAACTTAATATGAAATAAAATAGAATACATAATAATAAAAATAAACAAACAACAACAACAACAAAAATATCATTTAGATATAACTAAAGACATCTCCCCCTTTCCCCTTATTCAATTTAATTTCGATCATTGGAACAATAAAAGGAACACAGAAGAACACATAGTAAAATTCTTTTATGTATATTTTCAGAACAACCAACATGCTTAGATTCGTCGCTCTTGCTCTCTGTGCCTCAATGGCTTTCGGAATGGGATATGGAGGTGGATATGGCGGCGGATATGGGTCCGGTATTCAAATCGGTGGATACGGAAAGAACTATGGTGGTTATGGACATGGTGGATACGAACTAGATTTCGGATATGGGGGACACGGGCTTGACTTAGGATATGGTGGATATGGAAGTGGAAACATCGGATTTGGAAAAGGATACGGTATCGGAGGTGGACAAGGATACGGTATCGGAGGTGGACAAGGATACGGTATTGGAGGTGGACAAGGATACGGTATCGGAGGTGGACAGGGATACGGTATTGGAGGTGGACAAGGATTCGGTATTGGAGGTGGACTAGGACACGGTATTGGAGGTGGATATGGAATTGGACAAATCGGATTTGGAAAAGGACAGGGTATTGGTGGTGGATTTGGTAGAGGATTCGGTGGTAAAGGAAAATATGGTTAGTATATGTTACATGAACACTAATATCAATAATTAAGTATCATGTATATTTTTTTTGCTAAGTTCAATTTCCTTAAACAAAACAAGTGGACATTGATTTCCATTAATTTATTAGAGACTTCCATATTGATTTTATTCATACGAGTCTATAAAAATAGAAATAAATTTTGAAAAAAAATGGCATTTAAAGCACATTGTTGGAGTTTAATCAGGTCATTTGGATTGTAAAATATAAACGAAAAATTGAAAAAAAATACCAATTTAACTTGCACCTGCTTTTATTACGTATATCTTTACGCATATTATTTTCTATTTCAGCTCAATATTGAGGAACCCAGTAATCAGAACCAATCCAAAGTGCCAATGAAAATAAATAAATCATCCGGTACTTAATCAGTTTTCTTATCTTTTTCAAACAAAAATTAACTGCAACAGGGTCCGACACTTACGGTTGTCCGATTGCCCGGGGCAAGCTAATGCCGTATTCGGACAAGTAAAAACATCATCTTGGTTGTCCGATCGGGCAAGTGAAAAAAAAAGTGTTATATGATTAAAATTTCACAATATCAATAGTGTCTGTTGTTTTGTCCATAGATTACTCAGTGATAACACCGCACGGTCGAGTAAAGTGGTCTTAACCCCCCTTCAATGCGTATATTTCGTCAATTGTTCGCACTGAATTCCCCATTTTACCAAAAATAGATCACGTTTAAAAATATTGGCCAATCAGGCGGCCGCGGCGTTGCTTCGTCATTATCGTTATCCATCGGGACACCACTCGGGCGTTTCCGACGCACGTGTTATTCCCAACGACCAATGGAAAGCGGAGGTCTATTTTCGTTGTTCTAACTTTATAATTTGACATCGGATGTGTATTTCCCTAAGATGGAAAAACGTAAAAGCTTGAAAGAGAAAATGAAATTAAACTTTAACAAATTTGTCAGTTGTTGTCAGTTTATCAAGAAGGGTTTTTTGAAATGGCATTTCTTAGATAAATTATTATGAAATAAGTATCTCTATGTAAATGATCCAATAGTATATTTTCATACTCCATAATCAATTTACACCCCATATACATGATAACTATATTTTATCTGCATGTACTACATTACAACCACAAAAATAGCATGTAAAAGTTTGGGCATGTAGATTTCACTTTCGGACAAGTAAAAGTAATAGGGCACTTGCCCAACTGGACAAGTTGGTATAAAAGTTAATGTCGAACCCTGTGCAATCAAATTTTCAAGTTACACTTGTTACCGAATTATAATTTTTACCTAAAGGGGATCTGCTTACCCTTACCAACCTGAGGTCATCCCCAGTTTTTGTAAGGTTCGTGTTGCTCAGTCATAAGTTTTCTCTGTTGAGTTTTGTAGACTGGTGTTTGTCTTTTTGTCATTTTTCGTGTTTTGTCATGGTTTAGTTAAATTTTCCGACAAAGTACATATATTGTATATTTATGAAATCATGGAAATATACATGCAGATTACTCGATTGTGACATCACCGAATTAGAATTATTGCACGTAATGTTTACTTACTTTGTTTAACACGACGGATATCACATGCATAGCAGGATCCGATTATCCTTACCCGCCGAAGATCATCCCCGGTTTTTTCTCAGTCATCAGTTTTCGTTGTAGAGTTTTACAGACTGCTGTTTGTCTTTAATTATTTTTTTCGTGTTTTGTCGTGGTTTTGTCGGTATCACTTCCATCTGATTTTTGATTGACCCTTTGTTATCTTCTGCCACTTTTTGTAATTATAGATTTCATAATAATAGAATAACTAATCAAATAATTCAAGTATAGAAAAATATTCATCGAGTGACCGAACAACACATTGATTCACGAATGCGCTACTTTAACTATCAGTGTTTTTCTGTCACGAGCCTAATATTTTTCGTGTTTGAATTCTACGAATAGTTATTCTTTTATTACATTGCCCATAGGGTTATTGATAAAAAAAAAGTTGAAGAAACAAGGAACTGCATTTTTCTACGCATTCAGAATCTGTTTTGATGCAACGCCATCGCCAATGTCTTAACAGCACCTATGTTGTATGACGCAAGAGAAGTGAAACTATCGTATTTATTTCACATGTGAATTTGTCGGTTTTTATTTCTGGGGAAAATTTCGGTATTTCATTGCAACCAATGTAATAAATCCCGATATTGTCTCCAAAAGTTAGGAGAAAGGGACATTCAAACTCACAAGTTGAAAATAAACTCACAACGCCATGGCAAAAAAAGAAAAAAGACCAAAAGACAAACAACTGTACTCAAAACACAACATAGAAAATTAAAGACTGAGCAATACGAACCCCATCAAAAACCGGGGGTGATCTCGGGTGCTCCGGAAGGGTAAATTATGTTTAATTTGATACAAGTTGTCCCATACCATTGTACAAAGGAGCAGCTCTGGTTTGCTGCAATACAGATCTTGAATTCGAAGCACTTTATGAGTTAAACCTCATATCATTGTCTTTTTGTCATTTTTCGTGTTTTGTCATGGTTTAGTCGGTTTCCCTTCTAAATATTTTTTAGATTTATGAATCCCGATATCGACTCTAAACTATGTTTTGATACAAGTTGTCCCATACCTTTATCTGAAGGAGCAACTATTGTTTTCTGCAATACAGATCTTAGATGCGATGTACTTTACCTGTTAACCCTCACACCATTACCGAAATGAGTTATATTGGTTTGCTGTAGAGAATATCTAAGATAAAAAGCATTTTACAAGTTGCCCATCCCCTTTTCTAAAGAAGGTGTATTAGTTTGTTGCAGAACAGATCTAAAATAAAGAGTGCTATGCGGGGAAAACCCGTACCTTGTTTAAATGAGTTGCATTAGTTTGCTGTAATGCAGAATGAGAAGTATTATATCAGTCAAGTCAGACCACTTTGTCTCAAGATTTTATATTGGTCTACTGCAAAACAGATATAGAATGAGAATTATATAAGGTATAATAGACTTCGAAAACACAGGAACGAGTAACACAATACAAATTAATGTAACCGTATCAAAGAATGTCCGCAGTTTCTGCAAGTATTCTCAAATGGTTTTATCTGCTATCATAGAAATTGCCTTCAAAAACTTTTGAAGTAGAATAATTGTTTAGTTGAGAACAGTAGAAAAGTAATTATTCAATCAATGCGGTATAAAATCAATAGTTTGTTTATTTCGGTAACCACACTGACTAACAATTATTTTGAAACGGCAAACAAATAACTTTAAAGCTATCTTACTTGAAATATTCAATGCATATAGGCTCACTTTCATTATTTATCGAAACAAACAAATGCTTTAGTATAAGCTGTAACCCTTTGCTATGTATTGAAATACAAATTTGAGTGAAAATGTATGATACACACATAATATAAAACTCTTTCCATTCATACACAAAATTCTTAAGCATGGTACAATTTCCCGAAATCTACCATTTTCCAACAACTAAGCTTTCGAGCACACCGGTCAATGCATTGTCCTGGGAACTTTCAATTCATTTTAAAAATTGGAAGGACCATATTTTACAGACAAAAAAAAAAGAATTTTTGTATATATCATAACAAACTGGATATCGGTACTGCACATGCAAAAGGTAACACAGATCTGATGAACACGAGGGTAAACTCCATTGTGTCTCAATGGCAATCGGACTATAGACAAAAATCTACTGTACACTATATTGAAAACAATTGATTTGAATGAAAATCAGGGACTCAAATCATATTGTATCTGCTGGGCGTGTTTTATTGGTCTCTTCTGTACATCTCCAGATGTCTTTCTTCTGATGAAGAGTAAAAAAAAAAAAGGAAACTGGACCTCTTCTGGATATATATTCTGTAGAAGAAGCAATATAACACAAATTCAATTTGCCGTCGAATACAGCAGATTTTTTTTATGTTGATTGACATAAATGAAGTTTGCGATGATTTATTAAAAAAAATTAGTTACGTCAGTCCATTGGTATACATGACTGCAATAGTCTTTTCTGTTTTGGCATTGATGTAATTATATAATAAGTTTTAAAAACAAAGAAAATTGGTTGGCAGAAATCGCTGTGTTCGTGACATTTTTTTATGCTTTCCTAACTTTATTAAGCTTAACAAATCCAGCTTAAAGACCCCACTATTTGATTTTCAGGAATAATCTTAAACTGTACAATAATTTGTCAATGATTTGTCTGGTATATGATCGAAAAGGACATCTTGTCTATCAAACATTTTTAAAGTAACCAAACTGGATTATTTTTGTATATAAAAGATATCGCAGAATTATCAAAATCTTTTTTCCCCTGGTGGTCCTTGAAGAAATCTGATTATCCTTAGAATTATTTCTATTGCAAAATACCAAAACTGTGCCGGTCCTTGCAAAATTTCGATGGTTTAAATCATCGGACCACCAATTTTCGAGAACCTTAATTGTAAACTGTTTTTAACTAAATCCGTTGGTTGTGTACTGATTATTACTTTAGTCTGGGAGATCATAATTTATTTGTTAGTTGTAATTGGCTTTGAACAAGCTTTCAGTACCTGCAAATACTCTTATTTCGTTGCTTTGAGTCTTTTGTCTTATTGTTAGTTAGTTTTTTGTGTCTCCTACCGATCTTTTGATTTAATCCAATTGGAACTGATTTTTACAGTTTGTTCTTTTACACCACTGTCCCAGTTAAGGGAAGGGTTGAGCGCTCAAAAACATGTCAACCCTGACATATTCTTTAGGAGCCGGTTGTTCAGTGGTTGTCGTTGCTTCTAGTCTGTCGACTCATGTTTGATTTTTTGTAAATTGTTTTGTAAAATATAATAAGCCGTTAGTTTTTTCGTTTGAATTGTTTCACATTTTTCATGTCGGGGCCTTTTAAAGCCGGCTATACGGTATGGATTTTTGTCATTGTTGAAGGCCGCACGGTTGCCTATAATCATTGCTTACATCCACTTCATTTGAACTCCGGTGGATAGTTGCCTCATTGGCAATCATACCACATCTCCTTATTTTTATATAATATACCTGATTTTCAAACTCATGTTTTCCTAAACATGCATGAAATATTTGTCACTTGACGTTAGAAATAAGCAATCAGCAATCAATCAATTTAAACTCGTGTTAAACAAGGTAAAAACCATTTGATATTTATTTTTTTGGGGGTCGGGGTGGGGACAGAAGGATTTTGAATATGAATATGGTGGTCTGGTAAGAGATGAACAAAATAGGCATCCTTAGCGACAGATTAAAATGAATAATAAATCCGCAAAAAATCCTCCTGACCCCTCCCCTCCCCAGAATATCAAATAGTCGTCCCCTTACTGTTATTGTTAGTGTAGTTCTTATATAATGAGCTTATCGTCCCTACAATGAGGTCCCACTAAGGCTGTCATACCATAAAAACGTTT